CCTTGTCGATCTGCTTGTCAAAGTCCAACTTCATTTGATGGCTTGATGGGTCTTATCCAAGTTCTTTCACATTTTAAGGTTATTTCTTAATCATCTGAAACTATATTGGCCGTTGATTCCATGTCCTTGGTCCGTTTTAAGAAGTTATCTTGTTTATAAAATGGCAGTATCCGCCAGCGTGACTGGTTCGTGACACCGTCCTGAAAGGTCTTTTGCTAAAATTAGTTGGATACAATCTTGTTCATTGAGATTGCTCTTCAAGACATCGCGGGGAAATTTGTAGAGCAAATAAAACACTTTTCTTTGCAAATAAAACGCGATGAGTCGCTAACAAGGCGATTTAACCCAGTTCAGATTAAAGTTGAAATTTGCGTGACTTTTTGTATTTCATCCCCAGTCCTTCTCGACTGGACACAAATCAAACAAGGGGTAACATGGCTACTGATACAGTGAAGTGTTCTTTCTCGGGCTTCGGAAAATCTAGTTGTGGAGGTTTTCGAGGTTCGGATACAGTATGTAGGTTGCGAGAATGCCAGGAAGATATAACGATCCACTTGAAGACATGCCATCTTTCAAAACTATCTGGAATGATGGAGTACGAACTGATACTAGTCAGGGCGGGGCTATTCGATGTGCCAAAACACCGGCAAGAAGAAATGTTCGTGTGTCCAAAACACAGACATAATTTGGGTCGCAACTGGCGTCCGTTGAGGACATGTCGATATCCTCTTCATTCAGGAGCAAGGAAAAAGCTAAAAAATAATCATGTTATCAACTTGGAGATGTCCAAGAATATTCACGCAATTTTTGGAATCACAATTCGCATTGGGTCAGGTAAGCATTCTACTACACAATATTTTACGTTTTCCCTTTTTTGAGGAGCAACGATTGACACAGTTGGTTATTGCGTAGCCCTTGAGTCTTCTGTGTGAGAGGTCTTGAGATTGATGTCCATGGCCAGGTGTGAGAAATTCTTTCCGTGTAGCTTCAAGTAGCTTAAATACCCGTAAAACGGAGTACTGATGAAGAGGGCGTTTAAAAAGGTTTGTCTTTCAGATAATGATGAAATGATCATTTCGAAGTACCGACGTATGTGAGGCGCCTTTACTTTTTAACTTTCAATAGAATAAAAGAACTCTTAAAACCAAGGTAAATGTCATGGTCAAGTATTCCGAATTGTGTAACAAACTTTAAATCTAATTATAAATAAAGACCAAAAGAGAAGGTCGAGGGAATAACCATTCAACGTTGTTGTAAAACCTTGAAAGGGAATCGTTCCATAAGGTGTTTATTTTTCCGGCTATTTATATCATAACCAGTTATATTTTTTTGGCAACAGTGCCACGATGTAAGTGTAGAAATCTTGGATTGAGTAAATAACAAGTATGAAATGAACATTCTTGTTTTACATTGTTTGGTCAAGCGCGTTAGTATAATTAGGACAAGTATATTTGTTACAACACAGACGTTCAAAAATACAAAAGTATTCCTGGATTTTTGCGAGATTTAAAAGGTGCTTAGAATGTCTTTACAGGACTGTCTATTTTTTACGTTGATTCATAGCGTTCTATTTTTTCAAAGTAAGAGATAATTTCGGTAAAGTAGCCTACATGCAAGTGACCCACGAAATTATGCGAAACACTTGGCAATGTTCCCCTTCTTTAAAAACCCTATTTTGTGAGTATCGGGGATTTTGTATTTGAAACGTTTTTTAACCCTGCTATATGCTATATCCTGAAAACTATTTTTCCGACACCTCAAGACCTAACTGCGAGATTAAAAACTGTTTTGAGTTTATTTTGCCAGTTGTCAAATATCAATTCAGTGTTGGTTCTAAAAGTAAGTTTTACGCTACGAATCGACTTTGACTAAAAGTTAAATTCATCATTGTGATACTTTTTAATGCACAGCAATTTGCACTACTTGTGTCAAGAAGCAAAGACAAAAATATGAGGAAAATAAACGTTGGCTGGGGGAAAACACTGAGAGTGAGAAATTAGGGGAATATGAAGAGACAAGGTGTGTTTAAGGTGACTCGACCCAGTTTTTTTTTTTTTTTTGGGGGGGTGCCATCCTACTTTGAAGCTCTCTGGTATCCCCACCTTTACTTTTATCGTAAGTCTAACACATAGAATGTATAACGTATAGATCAATCTACAATATAACATAAAAAATTTTGGCGATCGGAGTAAATGTCATGTGGTTATAATGCCACGCCCCTTTGAGGTCTGAGTCAAAAATCTGCTGTTGCCGGTATTTTTTCGTGAAAATTTCTCGGCTACACATAGTGCGCATTAGTGCCTTGCCCAACCAAAATCGCAAAGACCCAATTCGAGAAATTCAGCGGTTTCCAAATTTAGGTGATAATTTATGCGAGAATGATAAGCAAACTTTACACGATTATATCTAATAAACTATGAGATTCATCCCTTTATTTTGGGCATCGTTATAACAGATGGGTCCTTGCAAGTCAGCAAAGAGCTTTAGGGCCTTGTAAATGCGCGCGATTTCGAGCAAAGCAAACATATAGAAATTATAGTTTTCGCTATTTGTTGACGTTTGTCAGCGTTTAAGAGCCTTCTCACGAAAACAGCATTTTCTTAAAAATTCGTAGTTTTTTTTCCTTCAAATTTTTTCAGAGCCACAATTGATTAACTAACTACCCGGACTCTGACTTTCATGGTCATTGAAATTTGAAAAACTGTGACATTATCTTCTCTAAGCCCAGACTTGAGTAAACAAGATCAGAAAGGACTGGGCAACAAAATTTACATCAGTGGATGTGGCTGTGAAAAAATCTACACCATTTATGTTGGCGTCCGAATCATCAACTGACGTAGAAACCCTGCAGATGGGATGGGCACTAAGCAAGGCCCACGCAGGTTCCATCCGGTTTTCTCGTGAGGTTAAAGAATATCTTACAGCCAAGTTTGAAATTGGTGAGCGGACTGGCCGCAAGGCGGACCCTGTTCAGGTTGAAAAGGATATGAGAACAGCACGGAATGTGAATGCCAGGGTCCAGTTGAATGAATTTCCGCGCAGCGTGGGGTCCTGGGAAGGACGTGGAAACTGTAGTAGCGTGGCCATGGTTTCTCAATTCTCTTAGCTGAAATGTGTTGAACCATTTTTGTCAGTGCGTTTATGTTAAGCTGAAGAAGAAAATGTATCGAAGTATGGCGATTCAATGTTAATTACATCGAACTTTACAGAAAATGTTAGGAAACAACCGTGTCACGCTCGCAACTGATGACGATCTCTATTACTTTTATACAAACTAGATAAAAGATGCCGTTGAAGGACAGGTTTTAAACAAAAAATTCTATGTTTTTAGAGTTAAAGCGGCTACTTCAGGAGCAAAAATATCCTCTACAAAAACCAAGAGGGACAATACAACCTAAGAAGTTAATAAACAAGTGAACGAGCTAGTATTTGTTCAGGTCATCACCCAATGCAGGAGAACTGGGGATGAAATACAAAGTCACGCATTTTTCAAGTTTGTCAGAAGACTTGGTTAAAACGCTTTGTCAGCGACTCATCGCGTCGTATTTGCAAAGGAACGTGTTTTATTTGCCCTACAAATTTCACTGCGATGTCTTGAAGAGTATAATCTCAATGAACAAGATTGCACCCAACTAATTTTAGCAAAAGACCTTTCAGGACGGTGTCACGAACCAGTCACGCTCGCGGATGGCTGCCATTTTATAAACCAGATAACTTCTTTAAACGGACAAAGGACATGGAATCAACGGCCAATATAGTTTCAGATGATTGAGAAATAACCTTAAAATGTGAAAGAACTTGGATAAGATATATCACACCATCAAATGAAGTTCGACCTTGACAAACAGATCGACAAGGCGAGTGTTCGTTAATTATCAAGTTTACGAAATTTGTGGAAATTCAAACGGCGGTCTCTTCTGAAAACGTGGAGAGCACAAAAATGTTATTCCTTTTTGTGTTTTTCTATCATTCCTAGATTGTATTCATACAGGTAGCGAAGTTCAGACAGGTGCCACACTTTTTAAAATTACCCTCAAAGTTGAGCTACTTTCGTGTTTTGATGGAAAGCCGAAAACACGTGCTGGGGAAAAAATCATTGCCGTTGAAATAAACAAATACTTCGAAACTGTGATATGGCTAGGAAATCTACAGTGGTGTATCTGTATACGGAAAAGAAAATCATGCTTTTTGAGCGAGTTGTTCGTTTTCTAGAGCGCGGTCAATATTAGCGATTTTTGCAGTTTGAAAGGCTATGACGCCAGCGCTAATCGTCCGGAAATTCAAAAATTCGTAAAAAAATATATTTATCACTTTCGGTCGAACGAAATGTATTTTTGTAACTACTAAGGTGAAGGCTTTAATATCCCAGAACATAAGGGAAATTAATTTTTTGATCCGAAATCACTGGTCGGTTTTTACGGAGACACGCTCTTAAAAGTCCACGCGTGCTTCGATGGTCCTGAGTATTGAATGAATGCAATTTGTCTTGAAAAATTGTGAAATACTGCATTTTGTACGAGGTCTGTATAATAAGCGCCTCATAGTACTCTTTCTTCTCAGATGTCGTGTATAACAAAAATAAAAGAATGGTTTGCACGCACCCAGATTTATTGGCAAGAATTTGTAAATGAAAAAAATTCGGCCTGATTTGTTTTCCAAGAAATTGTTTTCCACGCCTTATCTACTGTGCTGAAGAGCCATTATTGCTCTTAAATGTGACCGAAGACTAATTTTTGGGTGTACATATAAGGCTATATCAACTCGATACAAGATTTGTTTTACTCCAAAATCACTTACCTTTTCCCTCAAAATGTGCCCTTAAGTTAACTGATTTGTGGAATACAAAATTATTGTTTGACTTAAGTTATAAATTTATCAATGTGAGCTTCGCTTTTAGCTGTAGAAACAGGAATTGGGATAGCCCAGACTTAATGCAATTTTGATTTGATTTGATTTTCTTCTTCTTTTTTTTCTTGAATAATTCAATTCAAAAACACATATAAAGTTTCCTTTATTATTGTTATGTCGCAGTATGAAACTTTGGAATGCTGTCCAGATTATGAGTAGTATAGGGCGCATAGCGTAACCTACACCACTTGAGAAGCTATACTTAGAAGTAAAAAAAGGTCGATACGAAACCTAATACAATCATAAAATACATAGTGATATGAATCTCTCTACTTAAAAAGCCAATTTAGAATATTATTAAATTCTGATACTCTGTAAAACCTTCGCTATCTACTAAAAGCTAAAAAATCATAAAAGCCAATTTATAAATTCTGATAAAAACCTTCGCTATCACTAAAAACATATTTAATGTTCTAAAAAAATGTTCTAAAAATAAAAAAACGTCAGCAAGCTTGTGTTTCTAGATTTCTAGAGAAGAAACAAAAACCTAAAAACTGAAGTCCATAGCCCCCTAACTAAGTATTTATCTTAAATGTTCTGACAATGTTTAAAGTGTTTGAGATGACCGACTTCTGCATCCGCTCAAGTACGCTCCGTGATCTTTCTATTTTCTTTCAACCTTTCGATTTCCGCTCTTGCGATTGACAGTTGTTTTCTGATTCGCCCCATGTAAGGGAATCCGGATTCCGGAATCCAGGAATTTTTTGCTCGTGGAATCCGGAATCCTGGGCTTTGGAATCCGGAATCCAGCACTAAGAATCCGGAATCCTACTAAAGATTGGAATCCGGAATCCAACTTACTAAAGATCCACTCCCGATTAAAATGAGCTACTCGCTCGTAAGAAAAACCATCCGTGGGGGAGAAATGAATGCGTGACAACAAACCCCGAAGGACGTCTGCGGGGAGGCTAGTCTATGGAAAGCCTGCTCCCGAGGGTATAGACCTGAAATCGGCATATCTGGTGTCAAAACAATAGTTCACGAGCTCCATATGAAAGGTCGAGGTCACGGCCACATGATTAAAATTCTATAATAGCGAGGGAATCCTTGCTTATAAGCGGCTGAGAGGATCACAGAACACAAATCACAAACTGTGGCAATAACAAAAAAGTTTAAAGACTGTTAAGCTTATTATTCAAAGCTATTACCAAGGGAGGAACTACGCGCTCCAGTCAAAAGACTCACACTATCTTTAGAAAAACACTAAGCTGGAGTTTACTTAGTCACAATTCAATTCTCCATAGTAAGTTTATTTAGCTTCAGTTTAAGCTGCAGTTCACTCTTATAATTTTGGATCTGTAAGTCACTATCCGTGATAATTTAATATTCTGCAAAGAAAACTGACGAGCTGGGCGGTAGTTTCGAAAACGAAGCACTCGAAAACGAAGACCGAAGCACGAAGCACCCAAATCTCGAAAACGAAGCACCCAAAACTCGAAAACGAAGCACCCTATCTCGAAAACGAAGCACCCAAAACTCGAAAACGAAGACCCCTAAATCTCGAAAACGAAGCACCCAAAACTCGAAAAGGAAGCACCCTAGATCGAAAACGAAGCACCCAAAAACTCGAAACCGGGTCTGTCCTTTATAAACACGAGACCAATGCTAATACAGCAGGAATCAAGCACGATAACGAATCGAATTCTCCTGTTCCCCACCATAGAGCCTGGTCCCAGGCTATTACCCTAGAACAAATTCTGCCTGGATCTGATCTGATCTGATCACGCAGTGTCATAGATACCCAATATGTTAGACTGCAAAACGATCGGTTTTTTTCTCAAAATCAGTAAAGAAGTCGGTAAAGCGTGGAGTAAGGGTAATATGCGCGAGCCTCACACTCCGTTTTCAGCCTCGTTTCAGACCTTTTGTGTTACTGCTCACGCGTACTTGAATACGCCAAAATCTGCTGACGGACAGTTTTGAAGTCTACATAAACATGTATGTGTACCGAAAAAATGCATGTTAAGGTAAGATGTATCAAGTATAGCGAGGCTAATAATAAAATTAATACAGGATATCCTATTTAGAAACGTTCAGTGAAACACTGAGTGAAACAGTTGGTTAGAAAACCTTGGGATGGATTTTGTGGATCTTTGGAGGAGCGGACGCATCCGCTGCCTCCACCTGATTCGGATTACGTCATGTAAGACGTAAAGTTGCACTTATTAAACCCACAGTGGTTTCGAGGTTTGGGGTCTTCGTTTTCGAGATAGGGTGCTTCGTTTTCGATCTAGGGGTCTTCGTTTTCGAGTTTTTAGTGCTTCGTTTTCGAGATTTTGGGGTCTTCGTTTTCGATCTAGGGTGCTTCGTTTTCGAGTTTTGGGTGCTTCGTTTTCGAGATTTGGGTGCTTCGTGCTTCGGTCTTCGTTTTCGAGTGCTTCGTTTTCGAAACTACCCGAGCTGGGCCCAGCGTGATACAGCATTGCAGATAGACATTACACTCACGGACTAAAGAAAATCGCTTAGTTATTCAGATCCAGAAAGCATTTTGGAGAAAACTGGAACCCTTATTCAGCCGTAATAAAAAAGCTTTACGTTTCAAAAGAGGTCAAAGAAAATGCGCTTGCATCAGAGGGCAAATCCTGCCGACCAGAAACAATAACTACAGTCAACCGATATGTATGTCATGACCTCTCAGTGTGAAACATGCGTCTAAAATCACATTTGCTCAGTATAAATGCAGAACCTTCCAGAGCATAATCTACCCAGCAGATAAAAACAACTTTATTGGAACAAGCAGCATTTTCGCATGAGGTAAAAGTCGTGTAGGCTTACCACCCCCTTTTATTGCTATCTTTGACTACGTTTTGAGCTGTTTTGTCTATTAAGCCACTTTTTGAACTCGATTTAAATGGTTCAGCAACAACTCGGGCATTACAACAACTAGACCAAGTAACTGATAGTTTTGGGCTTGCAGACTGTCAAGAGTTACTGACTTTTTATCTTTATTTTGACCAGTCAAAAACGTCGAGACGTGACAGCGTAAAAATTTATTTAGTGGATCAACGTGGTCCGGCCACTGTCCGAAATTTATTTTGAGCTATGTTATTATTCTTAGACAATTATGTGACACAGTCAACTTAAGTCACTTTAGCGCCCCGCTGACCGGGACACCACTTTTGTCAGCTTGAAGTCCAACTTAATCTTCTGTAGTGCTCTTTTTGATTGTCAATCTTTTACTGAGTATATATGCTTATCCCGTCCTAGGAGAAGTGTATGTTTTTGTATTTGGCTAAAATTCGTGTCTTACGAGTCATATGAGAAAGTGTGAAAGCAATTCAGTTGAGAAGTGATATCTAATGCGCGTGTTCTAAAGCTTACTGTGTCTCTAACCTACTTTCTTTTTAGTTTTTTGCCCTATGACAATGATTCCAATAAAAAGTAGAAAAAGAACGAAAAACAATGTCCTAAAACATAATATTACTTCGAAATACTGTTTTACACTGTAATGTTCCACAAGAATGTAGCAATCAAATGAATAAACGTGAATATTTAGGAATGATTTGCAAGAGTTTTTTGTTTCTGCTAATTAAGCATTTTTCTATCTGCGTAACTGAAAATAGAGTAAGTAAATAGAGTCTTGAGGTCAGTCTCACTCTCTACTAATCACTAAACCAGCTCCGAGATCCGAGATCCCTGATCATGTGGATATTTGGACTAGATTAATCGAGGGACAAAATTCAAAATTGCGATGTCGGTGTTTCGCCACGTTTTTTTGCGGTGATGCGATGTGGACAGTCTCCCAATGTCCCCCTCATTATTATACCTTAAACCCTTACGGAACAGTAATACATTTCTTCACGTAATTTATAAATCGAAAAAGAAAACAAACTTGTTATGCATTCTAAACAACGTCTTTCAATATAACAAGATTCGAACACGAAAATGAAATGCGAAGAAAAGCATTAAAACAGAAAAAATTTGGAATCCAGCCCTTTTTGGAATCCGGAATCCACTGAGCTGGAATCCGGAATCCAGTACTCGGAATCCGGAATCCACAGGGTGGGATCCAGAATCCAAGACTGTCATGGATTCCCTTACATGGGGCGATCTGATCTTCACCACCTCCTGGTCGTAAATTCTTTTAAGCTTTTCCTTTCTGTCCTGCGGATTGTCTCTCTTTATTGGCCCTTGTTTTTTCCATCCTTTTATCAACAAAAACGCGCAAACCACCAAGTAAAGAGCGCAGTTAGCTAACCACAGAAAACCAAACGGGTTCTGCGTTGGTGTTACCTCGTAGCGCTCCATTAATAACTTAATCGCTTGGTTGATTTCTTCCAAGTCTTTTGTTGATGGTGTTTCTTTTGTTCTGGTGTCAATGTCACGTTGTGAATAGTCTCCAGGGTGGGTGCTAATTGTTTCCATTATCCTGTTTGCTGGCTCTAAAAAGCTGCACCTTTCTTGATCACCATTGTTAAGCTGTTGTTCTTGGGTCAAGGTTGTATGCAAATCCGGATCTGAGAAAAGATCACCATTGTTACGCTGTTGACCTATTATTATTATTATTATTATTATTATTATTATTATTACCTTACCGAGAGCTTCCAGTCCTTGCTCGTAGACCATTTTCAAATATTCTTTGGGTAAGCTGGTTTTTAAACTCCAGTGTGAACAGAGCCTCAAACTACACTCGAGCGATAAATAAACTAGACCACGGAATTCTCTGCTGTCTTTTAGCAATGTAAGGAAAAAGGAAACAACATTGACCCGCATAGCAATTTTTTTTTGCTAATTGGTCATACCATCAAACGGCTGATGAAACAGGCCATCGCCATAAAAGAGGGGAGATCACATTACTTTTTTTTCAGTTTACAAACCTGTTTCATGCTGAATTTGATAATTATTTTGACGATATTTCTATTGCAAGTGGCCAATTTGAAGTATTAAAAAAAAACCTGATAACTTTCTTAAAAACGTTTTAAGTCCGAATAATATTTGCTTAACATATCTTTTCCAGCGAAGAGAACTGACATGTTTTGTTGTGTTCAACCATTGTTACTCCTTTTAGATCCAAACATTTGCAGTAAAGATGAAAACAAATGCGCGACGCCTCTTCAGGTTGCGGCAAGATTTAACAGCCCCGCCACTGCTCGGCTATTGTTATTTCGAGGAGCTGACGTCGCCAAGAAGTCAACTTACGGTCAACAAGCTCTGCATTATGCCGCTAGAAGAGGAAACTTGGCCGTGGTCGAGGTAATTAAGATCATGTTTAATTGTTCTTATTTCGAAATAACCTGCGAACCACATTCGACTGTGATGGTTTAAGTGTTGAGAGAGAGTTTTTTAGAAAAGCAAACTCAGCCATTTCAGCAGGCAATCAATAGAATGCAAAGTTGATCAATGTAAGATTCGAGACAAGTGTTTCCACCAGGGGATGATTCATCAATTAACGGCTTTCATTTTAAGTTGTAGGTGTTTCATTTGACTATACTAATGTCCTGTTTTATTTCTTTAGTATTTTGTTTTACTAAAAGGCTATTTTAGATTTAAATAACGTGACCTTCTTAAGAGCAGCTCCGCGTAATAATCAGCTAGAGGTGAAAAAAAAACCTGGTCTCAAACTTAGCCAGCCAATTTTTAGGTAAATGAAATCACGAGTGCTGACAACGCTAAGTAACTGCAACTGTTACACAAAAAACGGGCGAAAAAACGTGACCTCTGATCCAGGCACAACCAAATGCAAGTTATGGTAGGCGCCAAACCTTAAGTTATTCGCTAACTTCCCGAAACAATATTGGTCCGAAATGTGTATAGGTTTTCTAAACTACAGCTGAGTGTTAAAAAGTCCACATCGTGGAAAAACTACAACAAAAGTCACAAGTACTAAATTTGTTCTGTTTCCTGAATTTTCTACAGGGTACGATTTATGCGAATCAACGCATTGTAAACAATTTTTAATCCGACGATACGGTACCCAGCTGAGACTGTGTTAGTTTAAGAGTCCATAAAACGTTTTAGAAGATTCCTTGGAAAGACTTCAAGAAGGAAATGAATAAAGAATTTGTACTTATAACTGTTACGATTTCACTTGCCGCCACGGCAAAACGAAAACAACTATCAAACTGCCTCAGGCAAACCAGTTGCCAGTCACGTCAGTCTTCCCCGCGCACTTGGGAAGGAGGGGAGATATTCTTCCATGCTGTGCGCTAAAGCATTTGTGAAATAAAAATAGCTTAAGACTGTTTCATTTCTAATCAGTCAAAAAAGAATAACTTTTCCGCCCTTTTTCCATGAACTGGGAATGAGTCTTTAATTTTCCTGTATTTTGTCACCTGATACACGGGTTCGGAAGCAACTACATGTGTAATACTTCTAGCACGAGTGGCGCTGAGCACTTCTCTTTTTGATACTTTATACCTAGCCTTGCTGCTGCACTAGAGAACTACTAAATGAGAGTCTATACGACCGCATTCATTCGCTTGAGGTCAAAGGTGTCTTCTCCGCCCATATAATCTTGGGCTTGAGCAGGCGTTTTTAGGGGGATTCGTAATTCCTCCCTCCCCACAAACGAAAAATGTGAATTTCTTTTTTCACCTTTGTTCTCAAAAACATAAGCTTCAATTTTTTTTATTTGCCCTTCGCTTTAAAAACTAGTGTAAATGACACATATCATGGTGTCAGGTAAGCAGGCATTTGTGGTCATTCATTCATTCATTCATTCATTCATTTATTTTGCCATTAACAAGAAATACAACAACAGCATACAGAAGTACATTAAAGATAATTAACAATTATTCTTTGAATTCGAGGTGAATAGTGGCAAAATATTTACCGAGCCGCGAAAGCGAGATTGAGAAGAATAATTGTTTTAGTATATACACACGAAGTGATCTCAACAAAATCAGAAAGGAAACCATTCAAAAGTAGGATTTGACTGACAGATCAAATCAAGCGTAAGTTTAAAAATAAGTCTTTGCAGAATTTTCAAACATGGCAATTCACAAGTTTACTCATTTCGCAAACAACAGCGTAATGGCTTCAATGGAATCGCTAAAAGTTTGAACTGTTTCCTTACCTGAGAAAAAAAGTAGAGCTGTGTTGTTTTCTGTTGACTCGCCAAGTTTATAGCCAAAAGGGCGTGTTGTGTCGCTCTTCGCATGAAGTGCTGACAAAAATGGCGGCTCGGTTGCTCGAGGTAAGAGGTCGTCTTCCTGTATCATTCTTTTTCCTGTTTACTTGAAATGTAGAATTTCTGCAAACATTTCCTTTTAAATTTGTTTGTCATAAATAAACTTCGATTTTTGAGCCAAAATTTTCTTCTTAGAAAACGCTGAGTTCACGAAACGGCTTCTTCTACGCGAATACACGGGAGTTGTAAACAATCCATCGAGCACAAAACTCCTGCTAGAGTAAATTGAAAAACGCCGTATTGAATCCTTCCAAGTCTTTTCTTGCCTTAAAAAAAGTCAGCCCTAGGATTTTGTCGACTTTTAAAAGATCGTTCTCTAAAAAAAACGGGAAAAACACCGAGCTCACACATTATCCACTCGCTAGGAGGTGAATATTGTTGAATAGTCCGAGATAGCGAACCAATCAGATTGCTTAAATCACCAAGATCACTGAGTGTGTATATACTAATGTGCAATATTCCAACTAAATTATTTACAACATCAAATGTAGTAAAGGCAAGAAGCCTATATAGAAGCCGGGGGCTTATAAACTATAGGCTTCCTGGAACTATAGGGTAAACTATACAAGTTAAGGGTACTGAATGAAAATTTGGATTAATTAAAAAAAAAAAAAAAGAAAGAAGAGAAAACAAGACAAAAAGGAAAATTAAAAGGTGTGTAGCTCAACAAAGAGTCAATTTAACTAAGAAAGAAGGAATTTTTTAAGTCTTTTGCCAAACAAACGGATACTTTCACGGTTTTGAATATCCCGACTTAGCGAGTTGAAAAACGTGGGACCTTGAAACCGAATTGAGAATTTTCGAAATTAGTTAGACAATGAGGTATATAGAAAAGGCTGGAATTTCTTGTATTATAAGAATGTATCTGGCTTGCAAGAGTAAACATATCACGAAAATAATTAGGAAGTAAGCCTCTTTTAAATTGATACATAAATTTACCTATTTGGTATAAATAAATGTCCGAGAATTTTAAAATCTCCTGCTCTTTAAAAAGAACACCGGTATGAGCATCAAAAGAAACTTTCGATATTATTCTGATTATCTTCTTTTGCAGAATAATAATCCGATTTAAATTAGACTGATATTTCGATCCCCACACTGAAACACAGTAAGTTAAGTAAGGGTAAACTAGACTATAGAACAAGGAGCGCAAGGAACTTTTGGGAAGGCAAAAACTAGACTTATAAATAACAACTATTGATTTTGATATTTTTCTAGAAACGCTAAGAACGTGAGGCTTCCATGACAATGCTCATCGAGTATAACACCTAAAAATACTGTTTCTTTCACACGTTCAATAACATTGTTGTCAATTTGAATAGATTTATCAAGTGTTTGCCTCCTTTGGCGTAGTCTAAAAACCATAAAATTTGATTTTTTAAAGTTAATGGACAGTTTATTTGCTCGACACCATTGGGTTAATTTAAGCATTTCAGAATTCAAGATTTCAGGAAGCAAGTTAAAATCTTTGTGGCAGAAGAATATGTTTGTGTTATCAGTAAAAAGAATAAAGTCCAGGACCTTTGGCACGTTACACAGATCATATTTTAGAGTAGAAAGAGTAGGGGACCTAGTATAGAGCCCTGACGCACCCGGCACTTTATTTCGCAAGACTCTGAACTGATGCCATTAAATTCCACATATTGTTGTCCATTGCTTAGATAGCTTTTGAACCATCTAAGTGCAGTCGCTACGAACACAATAATGCTCTAATTTTGAAATTAAAATGTTATGATCAACGGTGTCAAAGGCTTTAGACAAGTCTATAAAAATACCAACTGTGCATTTTCAATAGCGGAAGAGATTTTGTCATCTAAACAAGCAAGAGCATAAGCATACTGATTGTCAGTCTGAACGTTTGTCTTTGAACGTGTGGTAATGGATCGAGGAAATACGACTCCCCTGAAAATGCCACCAGGGGAGGCTAAATGCTTGGTTGCTTCTTAGGCCAAATTTGCCCCAGGGATCCGGCTTTCTTGCCAGTAGTACTTGGATTTCTGATCCCAATCGTAAGTGGGATTCCGGATTCTTTTAGCTTAATTCCGGATTCCAAAGCCCTGGCCAGGGCTGTTCAAAAGTTTGATAGCGCTGTCCACCCGATGTAAGACACATTTCGGCGGATAACTATTAGGGAAACTAGTTGCTGGAAAGCGTCATCTGCGTTTTGAACAACTGGGGCCTCCATTCCGGATTCCACTAGCAAATCCGGATTACCTTTATGGGGCGACCTAATAAGCGGCAATGGACATATTGGAAGATCCCTGCAATCTGATTGGCTCTCCTGCTAGAAACATGGTCAATTTTGAAGAAGTTGTTAAAACCAAGGAACAATTTCTTGCGCAACCCATATGGCACAATTCACTAATTAGGATCGAAAACAAGCCCGTCTTCGATAAAAAGCTCTTTTCCCTAGGAATTTCAAAGGCAACGGATTTTGTGAAAGAACAATACAACTTCCTTTCCCACACAGATTTTATTGAAAATTGTAATTGCTAACTCCAACCTTTAAAATATTTTGGACTTGTATCTGCCCTTAAACAAGTCAAAAATAGTAGCATCACACAAAACCCTACTCTTTCTATACCACAAGATTCACTTCTTACCTTATTCCTTAAGAACGCGAAAGGAACTAAGGTCGTCTACAAAAAACTTGTCCGTAAAAAAACGTCCACCCCGGCGAGAGGTCAAGCGAAATGGAACACTACGGTCTCTCAGGAGGGATGTGTTGCTGATCGGAATGTAGCATATATCTTGGCATTCAAGTGTACTAAAAGCATGACACTCGTTAATTTTCAATACCGATTTCTGCACAGAATACTTCCCACAAACTCGTTTCTGACAAAGATTGGTATCAAGCAAGACCCAAACTGCTCCTTTTGCTGTACCGCTAAGGACAATCTCGCTCATCTCTTCTGGCACTGTCAAACTTTTTGGGGAACTTTGACAAAAAGCTTGGTGATTTCGACCTTATACCCAGAGACTAATCGATGGATATCGCAGTTTTTTGAGGCCTAAAGTCCGATACCTCTAAATTTTCTCTTCAGATAAACTTCTGCTTTCTTTTAGCCAGACACTGCATCTGGGGTTGTAGAACCCGCAACAGGACCACTCAGCTCAAAATGTTTTTGAAGACCCTTCAGTCCCAATATAAAATTGAATGCTACAAACAAGTATCTACAAGCAATCCTACAAACAAGAAATGGGATCCGTTGGTCCCACTCTTCAATGGTATTTGTTAGTTTAATTGGCAGATGTATATATGTTCCCAAGTTACCAGCTCTAGAGACGGCTTTCTTGCAGTTGTGTACTGTTTACTAACAAACGAAGGCTTTTGCGATCAATTAACAGCTATGAACTTTAAGAATATTTATTTTATGTAAAGTTTTCTTTTTTTCCCTTTTATTTTTATTATTATTTTATTTACTTGGTAATGTAAGTAGTGTAATTAGTGTGATTGTAATTAGTGTCTACTACTGTTGTTAATTGGCTAATTGCATTGTATTGTTTGTGGAGTTATTACTAAAGATTCAGAAAAAAATCTGATTGGGTCTCAGCTTTGTGATATATATAGAACTCGATTTTTGAAAACCGGATTAGCAACTCATTCTACTACTTGGCAATTGAAAACAATAAAAAAAATCATTCAAAGGCCGATCAGAAGCCTTTATCTGACGCCAGGCAGTAAGTTAGTGGTCCCTAGAAGCATTTCAACAAGTCCAAATTTAAAATGACTCAAATTTTAGAACATTTATTCAGTAATCTGACTCTGCGAAGTTTCGAACCTGTGTCATTTCAGTCTAGACTGAATTTTTAAGTTCAGTGAACTGCAGCCCAAAAGTGCCTTGTATAGGCTTACATATCAAGTTAAATAGTTAGCAAGACACCACTTTTCGCGGTCCCATAAACGACAGCATTTCGCAAGGAATAGACAACAAACTGATTTAAACGTGGTACAGAAATTATCACCTTCTTATCTACAAAAACCGGCCTAAATGGTTCAAAGCCAAGAGCCCGCTGAAACTAGACCTAGATCCAGTTTCCCTGAGTCGATAATTGGTTTTTCAAGGCACAATCAGCTAAGCTTAACACCGACGAAACGTGGCTCACACAGAATATTTTGGTGCAACTGCTCAACAACCCGACCACATACCTGTCAACACCGTGCGGAAATCATACAATCACACACTTTCGCAATTCGGGGCACTAATACAACTATCCACAACCACAGATAATCTTCACATGTTTAACACAAGCGAAATATCATCAAATAGCTTGGATTATCATCCTACTGGTAGATAAACACCTCTTGACTTTTCTCTTACACTCGTCTTATTCAAGTTCCTGAATGTAAGGTCACACGGTTGGAAGACCAGAATAGACCCTGTTTTCACACCAGAAGAAAAACTTATTGGCCCGAGTTAAAGTTCACGTGCAATTTTGCTCTCCCCTTATTCCGTTTGACTCCTAAGAGCCTGTTCCCGAGGCAAGAGACTAAGTGGTTACCTCAGAAAAGCGAACAATATCGTACCTTTCTGTCTCAGCCTGGATCCGCTGCACTCAGTCCAGGAGATGCCGAGCAGTAAAACATTATATATAGAAACAGTAAACGGACATACTTACGGACTTTCTATTACTGTTTGATGGGTCAATTAATAGTTGTGGGATAACGGACTTCAAGGAGTCCTAACCCTAACCCTAACCCTTTCTTTAATTTTATTTGGGTCTTTAATGGCCAGTTTACGGTCATTTCAAAGTAATTTGAAACTCCTTTTGGGCGCCAGAACGTGCTAAACTTGAGCATTCTTTTAAATGACGCGAAAAAAGTGCTATGATGTGTAACTGGTTGCGCAGTTTTTCAAACATAGGTGAATTTTTATGGAGTACAATTCTAAAGGACAATATTTAAGTTCAGAAAAAGTGAACAGGAAATTGTTTCCTTTTGTCGGCCATAATGAATTAAATTAGGAAGTTTCACTTCTTAGTCTTGTAGAAGAGTGCGATGCACCTACAAAGTTGTTTTGCTCATTTTAACTAATCCTGGTTCTCGGCCTCTCGCCGTTGCTTGTGCGGGTCTATGGTCTCGTTTGCACTTACCCATAGGGAGTTTACAGCTATCATTGTTTTCATTCACATACGTGCGACAGGAACAAAACGGAGGTCACAAGTCACAAATGCAGGGTTAGAGTAGAGGTCACCTTGCTACAGAAAAGAAACACGCATTAAAAGTGTCTCTTAGCCCAAATCACGATCGAAAATAGAGTTCAAGGTTAAGGCAAACTTTATCCGTCGTTTGAACAACCAGGGCCAGGTCGTTATCATTTTTGGTTCCTTACTTGCGTCAGTTCACGTTTATTAGACTACCTTTGTAATCACCAACCAAGAGTTGGCCCACGACAAAGCTTTGTGTTGTTGCAAACCGAAATATCGGACACAAATGATATCATATATTCTTTTTTGTATTGGCCTCCTTTTCTGTCTTTGCCGATCAGTTCCACTGTTAATTGTTCGGTTTTGTCCTTTTTACTTATCGAAATCTTTTTTTGAGATGCGGATCCGGCCACTAGTAGCTACTAGTTCATTGGCCTCAAGGGAGCTCATTCTCTCTCGTTGGCCTTTAGTCGGGATATTGCTGATGCAAAACAAGCAGCCAACGAACCACAGGAAACCGAATGATTAGAAAGACTCCCAACAATTATCTTGTTCCTTAAGGACATCGAAAGGATACCTATGATCAGGCACAATGTTTCACATTACATGAATAAAATTACGCTTTGTTTTTTGTACTACAAGTGACACTCTAAAGGTGCGTTCCTTTGAGATGATCCAGATCAGGATCAGTGATCTGAGATCACTCGGATCATGGTAGATCAAATGAACCGATGAATCCACTCTGAACAAGGATTCATCGGATCATTTGATCTACCATGATCCGAGTGATCTCAGATCAGTGATCCTGATCCGGATCATCTCAAAGGAACGCACCGTAATATAATTCGAAAATATGTAATTTGATTTACTTCCGTGCGAAGGCATAAGCCTTGACTGGCTCCGAACTCAGAGTAGAATCTTTCTTGGCCTTTGATGTCTTTCTGACAGCATTCGGTAATTCTAACACACCGATTGCTAGCTAAAATTGCACGTTCCGCGTGAACGGAATCATTATAAACGGCAGATAAAATAAAAGAAGTGCACAGCGCCCGTCGAGCAAGAAGGGTGCATCAGTTGGTAAATTTCAGGCCAACAGTTTCGTTCTTGACGTTTTTATGAAAACAGGGGAAAAACCATTCTTTTCTTTTTTAATGCTGTTGAGAAAAGAAGCAGTCCTAAGCTATTTTTATTTCATAAATGTTTTAGCACACAGCATGGAAGAATATCGCACCTACTTTGCAGTTGAAATTTTCTAACAGAGCGGATGCAAAATCTTGTGTATTTGAAGTAAACCAAACGACTCACTCAGTGGATAATTACTTATCAGGACGGAGCTTAGCGTTCTGCACACAGTCCATGTGCATTTTAAGGAAATTAAACCGGTTTGAACAAAGATGACTAGGTAAAGTTCATTTTAAATTCAAGTTACATTATCTTCGATAACAACTGTGTGCGAGTACAAAAAACGTGCACGCAGTTGAACACAGAGTTTGGTACAGACGATAATACTGAGCAGTTTAAACTTCACACTTCAGATACACACAAGAGGAAAAGAATAATAATAAGACTAAAATTGTATAAAAAGGATTCGAGTATTGACATTTTGACACAATATAACATTTTCTTGATTACATACTTCTTGTTTCTTCTTTTGGCTTCGTGGCTTTTTTAAATTATTACGACCAGCTCTTCTCACAGTTTTGTTTTTTGAAACATATATCCCTTTAGCTTACCCGTAAGGTTTCAGCTTTTAAATCTTGCAGTTTTTTGCTGATTTCTATCGTTTTGCAGCGATTCAGCCGCGACTAACCAGTGTTTGTTTGTGTTTTTGCCAAAACGTTCCCCGCTTTAGCCTCGCAATCATGCTGTGAAGTCTCTCGTCCCAGGGCCGTCAGGGAATACGAATATCGTCTACTGGCATTTGACTGTGCCTGGGTGAGAGGTCACGTTGTGCGCCCGTTTTTTGCGTAACATTTGCACTTACTTCGCGTTCGTTATTTCACTTACCCAAAAATTTTATTTCGCTTATTTGAAGAAAACAGGATGCTCTTTCAGGCTAAAGAAGTCTAGGTGGTGAAGGCCATGTACCAAAACGCTTTTTTAGCTCGTGAAAAAGTGCTAAATTTTGACCGTTGATAAAGCGATTTTGAGTCAACAATTTTGAAAATTTCTTAAAATATCTCTTGTTGACCAAATCGCGAACTAATAAGTTAAAATTATTGAGGTAAGACATTAAATTGTAGAGTCGGAAAGGCAGTAGAATATGAAGTTTCAAATCTAGCCCACTATATTTTAAAATATACAGGCCACTGAATATGACTCTAGTTTCGCATGATTTTTGCCTTACTCATTCGATCGTACTTAAGCCATGGATTTTGTAACTAGAGCCCAGAGGGCTTTATTCTGGCTGAGTTTGAGGCCAGGTCATTTTTTGACTATTTCCACGTCTACGCGGGGCTGCTGTTAATACGGACACCCCATTAATACGGAAAATGTTTGTGATCCCTTTAGTGAGTTTCTGTATTTACGGGATTCTACCGAATTTATGTTCAAGGTGTTGTTGAGAGAGGGGATGGCAGATGCTAATGCAACTGATAATGAAAATTCTACTCCACTTCACGCAGCATCGCAAGAGGGAAAATTGAATGTAGTAGAGATTTTGGTAGGTTTGAAAAAGAATTTAAAAAAATGCAGCTTTCGAAAACATTATTTGACACCCTAAAGTCCCGGGAGTGTTCTCTGAAATTGCCTATAGGAGAATAATTATGGATTATGTACCAAGGCCAGTCAAAACGTAGGGGTCCTAATGCGGTTACGTGGTAATGCGAAACTATCAATATATGGGTCGTCAATTCTACCCCGTCCAACATTCTGTTGCTTAGTCTGGCACGTTTGTAACATGATCATCTCATCGAAGAAAGTTTGACGGGATATGATCCTGACCCTATATTTCCGACCAAAAAGTTTGTAATTTTTCACACTCGTTTTCAGACCAAGCCTCTAAAATCCATACCCGTTTTAACACCTGTCCTCAAGCAAATTATGCCATCATTACTTAGATTAGAACGCCAACAAAAAAAGATTTCTTAAAATTCACTTTGAATTCGCATATTCTCTTTCTTTCTTATTCATTTAAAATTAAAACGATAAATACGTTCATACATTCCTGTAGTTCCTCGAAAACTATACCCGATTCCAGACCAAAATGGGCCGAAACGGCGCAAAAACCATATCCTTTGGGGCGGCACATACCTATATGGCTAATGTAAGGGACTACCCCCACGGGCGTCTGCGTCTTATCAGAACGGCTGCTAGGCCATGCCCGGCTGATGCTGGTGATGATGTCCAAAGTAAAGCGTGGTTTCGTGCGTATTCACATCTCTAAATTATTCAATGCAAAGAGCAAAGAGTATAACTAAGGAACAATGATTTCGAACTACTAAGTTCGAAACAGTTCGTTATGGTAGACACTCTATAAACTACTTGGGACCTCTCATCAAATGAGAGGCCTTAAGCAAGCGAGTATAAATTCCTACTTTTTTACACGTTTCTGCGAACTGAAAAAGCTAGTCACCCGCTTTTGTGCCTTGGTTGTTTGGCTTCTTGAGAGTCTTGCTCGCTTCGAAGGTCTGTTGTCACTGGTGAGGGTACTCGCCCCAATAATGGTAGCCTGCGAGCAAGCTCTCCTATTTGGGCAAGTGAAGCGAGCCTCGCGAGAACGCACGAGTGAGGGGCCGAGGAAAGGAGAGCTTGCAACGATCTCTCATAAATTTTCATTTCCACCCCGGAAACCCCGGGACTTCGCAAAGCGTGAAAACTGTCACCGCAAACGTGCCGCAGATTAGAAAAGTGACAACCGCCTGTCCTTTAAGTTTAGACAGCTGAGGGCGCGTAGAATTATTTATTTATAAATCGCTTTCGCAACAGCATCAAAGCAATGTTTTTAATCGCTGATATGTTCTTTTTTCCACGGGGACATCGAACTTGAACGTGTCCGCTCGGATAAGAACTCACTCCTTTGATTCTCGTTTCGTTTACTTTTAAAAAGTCGTCCATACTGCAGTGTAGAAGACTACCCCCCATCGCAATAGCCAACAAAAACTTCATATATAATAGCGTTTTCCTGCACTTGGTTCTCTTAAGTTTTACTCCAGTCTCTTCCAACTCTTTCTCTTTTTCTTCTTTACGGTCAAGCTACACGGCTACGCTGTCAAGTACATGTTTCTGAATTTTTCTACCTAGTAGAATTCAATCGGGCGAAGAAACCGAGGATGTTGGAAGACAGCGCTTGAATCACTCTTCACTTTCATAGGGGCACCCAACGGCAACTTTTCGGAAAATATCTGTTCGGGAGACGATTTGAGATCTAGAATTTTCGGAACATTTGTTGTAAATCCTAGGATTTTCGAACATCTCCAAAATGATATAATTACCCATTTTTAACGGATTTTTACCCTATAAAAGGCCACCTAGAATTTTCGGGAACCTTTTCCTGGCTGAAATTTTCGAAAAGGTAAGTCTTGATCCCTATAATTTTCGGATCACTAGACTTTCAGCTAGGAAATCCGAACATGAAAAGTTTTTAGGGGATACAAATATGCCTATATCTACCTTTTAAATACTAAAATATGTTTAACAATGTTATGTTAAGTGGTTTTGAACTATATCCTTGTTGGGTGTCCCGACTTTCACTCTCCCAGTTTTCAGAACTAAACAAGGCGCTTGACACAAACGAATACAACTGATGAAGGGTTTTCATTTTCCTTCCACAAGAACTACAAACTCGGTCCGACTTGTCCTCGGCTCGCAATGTTCTATTTTCGAGAATTACATCAAACGAGCCCGTCTGCTTTGAGGGCTGAAACAAGTTTTCGGTACCAATCTGATCCCCCTGAGAACCAAATTTGACACACAGACGAAGCGGGTGCCGGCTTGGCCTGTTATCAATCAACTTTGATTTCCGGAACGTCATTTTTGAGCCAATGGTATTTCCCTTCGTCTGGGCAAAGTACAAATGAAATTTTATGAGAGATCGTTGCAAGCTCTCCTTTCCCCTGCCCCTCTTTGCTTCGCCGCTTGCTCGCGCGTTCTCGCGAGACTCGTTTCACTCGCCCAAATAGAAGAGCTTGCTCGCAGGCTACAATAATGGTGGCAAGCCTGTCCTAATGCTTTCATCAAATGAGGACTCGTAACAAGGTGTCTTCGGTGTAATGAACAGGTCCTCGTTCTCCGATTCGACGGCCTCCTGGCTGGTAGGGGGAGTAAACATTGGCTGGTGCGTGTCCTCAGTCTTTGGCGTATTACCATCGTCGTTTGAAACCGTTGGTCTGGTCATGTTTTGGTTGCTACCTTCGACGATAACCGGTAAAGGTGACTACACATCTCGCACGGAACTCGCGTACTTGGGATCTACTAATACACGTTTGACGCAGATTTCCTTCCTTTTTTCCAAGACCATCCTGCAGGCGAAGGGTGCCTTGTTTTTCGTGAAATGCCCTGAGTTTCTCACAGTCAATCTCCAAAAGACTCGTGCGAGGTCTGTGCCTCTCTCTAAACGGATACTGTTCTCGGCATATTGTTCTTTTCTTTTTCTATTTCTAACAGCCACGGATTACAGAATGCTTTAGTTACTTTCTCTTGTTCATTACTCTTTGCCTTTGCATTTCGAGGCGTTCTACCCTATCTTTCAAGGCCTGTTGTTCTCTGCAGGCGATAATCAGTCGATCTGCTTGAGATTTGCTGGTCACCCTAAATTTGCTAGATATCATCGACGTTCGGTGATTCGACGATCTCGGATGGCTTTGTGCTGTGTTTGAGCTTCTCGCAGGAGCATGCTGAGCTGTCTATGTCGAAACCCACGCGGCACCGCCTTTTCGAGTTCATAGCGAAGCTTGTCTGTGTGGTTGTTACCCTCATCTTCATCGGAGATATCGCTTTCGGTCTCACTCTCCCCTTCATTCGTGAGTGAGATTTCACCGCCTTCCGTGCTGCACTCGGGGGCGTGGTCGTCCATTGGAAAAACGGACAAAATTTGCCGAATATCTTCACTTTCTAAACCGTCCCCACACTCTCCTAAAGTCCTTCCAGTCTGTGCGGTAGTGGAGTTTGTAGCAACTATCTTTTGAACCCATACGATGCAATCCATTGCGTTCTCTCGCAGCCACTGGTTGGCCCCCGGGTTAACTTGCAGCAAGCTTCTAAAGAAGCACTTGTGAATCCTTCGATTCATCGCGTCATTGTGTACCTCGCCAAAGTCCATCTCCTGTTGACATGTAATGTACATACTTGCACGGCAGCGGAACCCCTTCGCTTTCTTCCATTTTACATTGTGGGATGTAAAACCGCTTGGACAAATTATCTTCCAGTCATCTACGTCGAGCAGGTTGGTGTAGTGCCTCGTCGAGGAAGATACCTTCTGTGGAGTTGTCAATCATCGACTCGTTAAAGCTCCTCTGTTTGGACACGCGAGCGATTCGGCTTAACGGCACAATCTGAAACACTGGGCTCAACAGCCTCGTTTTACCGCTGTCAGAAGCTCCGATGGCACGTGGCACAGGTTGCTTATGTTCGTTATCTCTGAATGGCGCGAGGAAATCAGCGCAAAACTCTTGTATTTGCTTTTCAGGTAGACTAGTTAGAATGTGCTCGAAGTATTTAGGACAGGGCTGTTAGAGGCTGTCATAGTGGACTTACGCTCCTGGTGACCTGATACCTCGCTATAGAAAATAGAAAAAAAGAGAATTGTTAAAACATAAAACATGTAATAAATTGCTAAAAGAAGAAGTAGAAACCTTTGCCCGCCGACAAACGAAGAAAAGGCAAAGAAAAGAAAATGGTCTGATTGGTCTTAAAGGATCTTGAAAAAATGTAGAGTTCAATGAATAACTAGAAGTAGTTCTGGATTAGGTAACTCGAAACTGAATAGCGCTTGATTTGGCATATTCCAAGGTTAATTATGTTGTAAAGTTAAAGAAAAAACCCCGTTTCTATTGAATAAATAAATTGTTACTTTAGCCGGCAGATAAATTGTGGAAAAGGAAAATGTGATAACGGAATTAAAATAACCTTTACGGATGAAAACGTATGCTCTCACCTCCGATTCTGGAATCACTCCTTGTACAGAGAAAGACCAAAACCATCCAATCTGCACTTCAACCAGGTTTCGATCTATGTTAATTTGACCAATCAGGGAACTTTCTGGCTCTCTCAGGAAGTGTTAGAACTCGTTGAAAATGTTGGACAAGCCTGTCTTTGAAGCACTTGTTCCCCATAAGATTTAACAGAAATGACTTCATGGAGCAAAAGAACGTGAAAGTAAACTGTGATTCCGCGACTTGGATGTGATTACAGAGAACTGTTAGTGGGCAAGACAGTGGCTTGTGTGGTGTACATTGTATTTCTACGCCCGGAGTGCTGCTTTCGTTTCCGTGGACAAACCAGCGCGGCGCAATTCTCGGACAGATGTAGTCATCATCGGTTTGAATTCTTCCCTAAGCACTTGCACACGAACCACATTCTCTGCTGACAACATTTCTTGAGACTGTTCGTCATCACTAATATCTATTTCGTCTTGAAGGGTGCAATCAATAAAGAATAATAATTAAAAAAACAGACAAGTTTACTATCTCAGGATAAATTTTTGACAAGCGCATCAAAGTTTGAATTAATGCTTTTTGTCGTGTTGAAAATTCCAGATGGTTTAAATGGCACATAATTAGCCACTTGCACCCTTCCATATTGTTAAGTTTCAAAATAACTTATTTGAGTCAAGACAGTTAATTAGAGATATTACTTGACTACGATAAGATGGCAACA